GAGAGAGAGAGAGAGAGAGAGAGAGAGAGAGAGAGAGAGAGAGAGAGCAAGAGAGCAAGAAAGAAACACGGGGTGCACGTACATCAGTGGTGCGCAACTTTAATACACTTTCTCACAGCCAATTTAAAGGTCGTTACTTAAAACGTGTATACACGCAAAAGTTTAGTTACAGTATTTATAGTATTTTGATCTTTCGATCGATGGGTTACGTTAACCTCTCGAGGGACGAATTACTTTATCATAAATATATAAAAGCTAATATTTACCCATACCATAGGTCAATTTAATTATACGTGTTTGTTTACCTACCTTGTGTTTCGACTATTTCTACATAATAACATGTAAAAGAAGTTGGCAACTAAATGTACACGTATCTGCCGGTATCGATATCGTTTGGTGTAGATTTTTGTTTCTTTTCAAATTACGTTCTCGTTTCTTTTCTATCATAGATTCATTGAATTGGAATTCGCACCATTGACATGTACATCGATCGACAACGTTGTCCATGCCGATACGTTCGCGTTTACTTGAAACTTGAAGGGCATTGTTAACGCGATCGAAGCGTTGCGATCTCTCCGAAATCGTTCCATATCGCGGATCGATTGTTTACTTAACACGAGAAGCGCACAGTATTGAAAAGCTGCGACAACATGTGTCGTTTCCAAGTCGAAACGCAGATGCTTGGTCTCGTAGCTTCGGTTTGACTCGTGACTAAACGAGAATTACTCGGGCACCTCGTGTCCGTGAAACAATGGGAACCTAATGGTATGGTTCTCAACGCGTTGTATCTAGCGGTGGGCTGAAGAATCGCTTCGAATATCGTTCGAGATGTGACAGTAGAGTTCCTTGGTCTCGAACCTTTCGACGAGTCTTTGATATTTTACAATTTTACATCAACAAACGAACCAATCTATACCGTTTCAAAGCTTTTCATCAATTTTTCTTCTCAGACATTCGATTCAGTTCGACAGTTCGCCAACGGTTGATTGTCAATCTATACAAAAAAATGTACGAATCAAACAGTTTATCGTAAGGTAACCAGCTGTTTGAACGTGTAAACGCATTTTTCGGATAAAGATTTATTTTTTTTAACTTTTGTCCAAAGAAAACATTATGCAACGGTAACGTATTGTACAAGTGTACAATTCGATTGAAAAGTCTGATATGAAATTTGAAACTTGGAGCATTTAAAGGTTAAAGCATACGGAAGACTCGTTGAAAATTTCATAACGAATAATCTTGGATGCGACTCGAATTTGCAGTCTCGAAAGTTTCGAATTTCTTTCGAGATTAAGCGCAAGCGCAAATCGTTGGCTACAGCTACCCTAGGATTGAATACGCTGCGATGGAAATCCGGCCAGTGTGCGCCGATAGAGTGCACATAGATGAATCTTTTATTCGAGACTATCGTCGATCGCGGATGGACGAATTTATAACGCGCAACTGCCACTGTTCTAGGAATATCAGTTTCTTTTCTCTGTTTAATTTAGCGTTACACGGGTACGTTACGTTCACGGAATTCACGTATTCAAAGAAGATTATTATAGACAGAGTAAACGAGTCATATACATATATGTATATGCTGCAAGTGGAGATAGTAGAACAAATGGAGAGGATATTCCTTTTTCTATCGAAATTTATACATATACGTATTACTATTCCTTAGACTTTTTTTTTTTCCAAAGTTTACGCTGTCTATAGCATAATCTGTTGACGATCGACACGCAAACTGCATCGAAAGATTAAAAGTTACTAGCGGCGAGAAGCCCGCGAACGTGAGAACGTGAACGTGCGAACGTGAACGTAACCAAAGCAGAACAGAATTGACCTGTCGCGTCTGTTTGAAATTCGATCCATCGAATTACGTAGCGCGATCGTGGCTCGTTCGAGCTTCGTAACGGAAATTCGGCGACCTGTAATTTTGTTGACGTTGACCTGTTTACTTCCTGGTCCGCGCCTCGAATACCGGGATCGAAGCAGCGTGTATGTATATGCGCACGTGTATACTATTTCGGCGTATTATGTAAATGTGTAAGTTGTACAAACTGTCGAGTGCAATTCGGATTAGATAACCTATACGTTCGGTATGGGGGCGATCCTGACTGTTTGCGGGACCTCGAAAGATGGTATCGATCTTCTTTTTTTCTCAATCAAAGTGTTTCTTCATTTCGAGTGAGGAATTAGATTTCAGCGATCGAAAACTTAACAAAACGCGAGTTGTTCGTAGTTTGCTGCGAATCTTTTTTGACAAAGATATTTGCGTTTATCGAGCATAAATAATTTAATTGGTTGTACGCATAGCCGAGTTAGAGGGCATTTTTCACTGGCACGTTCGAATCATGATACTTTTGTAAACGCACGCTGCGTTTACTTTTACAATTAGTGGACATTTGGCGTTCAAGGGTCACACGTACGCAGTTAGTTCCGTGCGTTCTTTCATTCTCTGTTGTTTCGTTCGTTTCTTTGAACGTATCGCAGCCAAACAGATTATATTTGATATGCATAGTGTACGTAGATGGAGTAGAGAAGTCGTAGGAGATAGTAGTTGAACTTTTTTTAAAGCTTGGCTACTCTGTCTATGTGATCCGTTTGGCGCAGGACGATCAGAATCGTCTGCTAAGAAAAATTGTATTCCGCGACGAAACGAACGTTTGCGTTAAGGACAGACCAAAAACTTTCCAAGGAAAGCGATACATAATATTTTAATCGCGATTTTAATCGATCATTGAGATAATAAGAACAAGATATTTGTATATTATTTGAAACGAGGAGTTGGACTCGTCGCGATTAGAAAAGGAAATTAAATTAAATTAACGCGATATTTCGATTCTCGATTCTCGATACCGATATTGCGCGTTACGAGTTCGTAAGATAATTATGGTACTATGAATAAATAAAGATGTTAGGTTGCCAGAAAAATATAGTAGTTAAAAACGAAAATACAATTGAATTAATCGAATTAACGAGAGCGAGCGAGCGAGCGAGCGAGAAAGAGAGAGAGAGAGAGAGAGAGAGAGAGAGAGAGAGAGAGAGAGAAGTATTCTACCGCGTTCGAACGTGTGTAAATTGAGATCGATCGATAGGGAAATATTAGGTGTCGAAGGAAATCGATGAGCCGCCATCGTCCCATCCTCACCCCTCAATGAGTGTTTGCATCGAGAAGTAAACGTAATTTCGTTCTGTAATTATTTACTTGTACGATCATTGTAACACTGACGCGGGCTGTACATCTTGCGGCTGACCTCACGTATTCTTTAAATTCACGCATAATTATCGACATAATTATAAATATCTATACGATTATAGCATTCAAATAGCAAGTAATAACGATTAAGTAATGAAATAAATGTCATCTATCCTACTAAATCGTCGAAACTGTTTTCTGTGTTACACCTTCTGCTCTCGCTAGCAAAAATTCCCTCGAGAGAATTCCTTGGTTTTTTGTTACGAAGCAGTTGACGCTACAAAGACCAGAAGATATACTTTTTACATTGCTGGAATTGGGTAAGTCGCGGATCTTTATGGTTTTACTTTTATTCCAACATTGGTACGAAATGTACTTACTGTATGTATACTCTAGCTATTCCGTTTTAGCCCATTGCGCTCTGTTCTAGTTGGCATCTAGTTGGCATCTAGTTGGAAAACGTGCAAACAGAAATCCGTCGTATTATATGTATAATTTACCGTAATGATATTTAGCTGATATGAATCTTTCAAGGGACATGTTTAAAAGAAAAAATTGAAATTGTATATCTTGTATTCATCCAAGTTGAACAATCGTGCATCGATAATCCTTTTCTTTCGTGTTAGGTTTCTTAGAGTTATTTTTTCGGGTTATACGAAATCTTGGATAAATTTCCAAAAGTTCACAAGTGTGGTAGAATGTATCGCAGTATACATGACGTGAAATGGAAGAATAAATTACACTCCTGTCCAGCGAAGGCGTATTCAAGTTTACCGGATTTCATCGTAACGGTAAGTTTATTCGATTTCATTTGATCGAAGCGTAAAAGTTAAGTGTACGAGGCCAGCGTGTTGTGAAATACAGTTTGACAAGATTGCTGTTTAACTTTCTAGACCTCTTACGATATTAGGTCATCCCTTTCCTCGAAACATCAGCGTGTATGTATCATCTGTTTTACAAAAGGCACGACTGCATTGCGAATCAACGACCTACACAGCGCTCCCAAGCGGTGAACCTGATACATTCGTTCGTTTACCAATGTCGTAAACACGGATGATCAAATTTTACCGCAACATTCCTCGTGTTGTATTTTTTCGACATCTCGTTTGTTATCGCAGCTTACAAAGTAGCACACAGGGTCCATTAATTTCTCGAGTAATGCACGATTCGTATCTAATAAAATTTTAATAGAATTGGAACAAGAAAAGTTTTGCAAGTTTTGCAGCTTGCTGGAAAGAGGCACACGCTTGGAGAGTAGCCACAGTAAACACAGAATTTCGTGTAGTGATCGCAGGAACGTCTAGATTTGGAAAATAAAAAAGGTACGGTTGGTACGGCAATGGGTAGACCGACAGGTTGTGCCGTTCCACATTCTTCTTTGTACTCGTCGTGGAAGGATGTTGAATGAGTCGATGGCCTTGACCAACTGCTATCGCAACGTGCATATCCGGAAATGCCTTGATCTCGCTTCAGGACGAGGCTTCTTGTACGATGCAACGGGTCATCTAGCTGAAAGATATCGAATCGCTGAAATGCTACTTACTTTTACACTACTAATTTACCATTTTTCTTTGCTCCGAATTCAACTTTTCGATCCGTAAGCCTGTAATGCAATCAAAATGTATCATTATGATCGTTAGTAGTAAAGGGAGTGTGTTAACGCGTGTATAAAAACAATAATGTATCGTTTATCAGAAATTTTATTTAAAGCATTCGACATACAGGAGGTGTTGCTCATCCCACGTATCGTAATTAATCGTTATTAAGCTGTCGAATAATCGTGTACTCCATACCCGATCTTATTCTAGGACAAAATCCGTTGACGGGTTACGTTGTATCTCGAAAATGACGATTATATTGGAATGCCACGACATCGACAGTTACATTAGACGGTGACGAGCAGCGCGATTCTTTGAAGAAAAGGATACAAGCAGCTCGCGTCTTTGTCCGTTGCGAACGTTTCCCGCTATCTTCGCTTCTGTCTCGAGTCAGTCACGGGTGCGCATGCGCAACAAACAGTCCGACGCCGATGGCGCGCAACACAGCAAAAGTATATAATACTTTTTTCCCAACATGTCAAATTTCCACTTTCTTTCGACGAAACATTTATAAAAACAGAAAAACGCATGATCGATAGTTCGATTTGACTTTGGTTAGAAACAACTAGCCTTGTTAAATTTGGCCTAGATCGATACCGTGTAATTCTCCGTTTCTTACTGTTATTGTTAGACATTCTAAAACTAGCAGTTTTAGGATGAACCAGTGTTTAGAAGCGACGAAACGATAAATGTATGTACGAGGTTTACTTGGCGATTCGACGTGGTATGGACCGCGCGTACCTATGGTGGCGACGAGTAAGCGACCGAAGCCAGGTAGCTCCTTATACCATAGCGCGGGTTCAATGTGTTCAGTTTTGCTATGACCGTCGACTGGTCACCAGACATCCCTGAAACAGGTCTCCAGTTTTGAATTCAAGTACGCCTCGCCTGTGCATTCAACAAGATAAACGCAAAAGGATACTACGATGGAATTTCGAACATTTATCGTAAGTTGTACAATCGTCGACCTTATACCCGACAATATACATTTTTTATTTTATTTTATTTTATTTTATTTTATTTTATTTACTTAATTTTATTCAACATTTAAAAACAAAGAAAGAAAAAAAACTTGTCTCGTTCTTTATGTATTTATTCCGTTTACATCGAATAATAATAATCGTTTCTGCAAATAGCTTTTTCCATGCTTTTTCATTTGATTAATAATAAATTGTACTCGTCCATAACGCTTTATTATTAAATTCGTGCTAGACAAAATTTCCACATTTACATTTGACCGTCTAGACATCGTATAGTGTTGTAAAGTGTGAATATCTGCAAAGCTAACAAACATTAATATATATTTATTATTATTTATTATACCCCAGCAACGGAACACCTGAAACATGTAACGTAGAAACGTTCTTTTTCAAGATGTAGACAAGGTAAGATTCGTAAATAGGTCGGTAGTTGTTCTCGAACATTTCTGCTAATTCGTCTAGAATTTGGAAGATGGAATTTCAGCGATACGCTCGCTCATCGTAGCGGACACAAGTCGATAAATTCATTAATCTGACGCTAGTTGATCCTTATTATAGAAATGTCCCGTATTCAGTAATCGCTTGGAACCGGTATAAAGTAATACCGTTACGCAAATGCGTAATAAACGTCACGTCGGGAAAAGTAACCTTTTTCGTCTTTTTGAACAGCGCGCCTCTTCGCGGTCGAGTAGCGACCCATACAATCGCAAACTTGGTTCGGCGTTGAAATTAACCATAAACCTCTATATTCAATAAATTGTAACTGTAGTTTAAGTAAAAATCAGTTCTCAAGCTGATTTCTATTACGACGAATCTATATGTATATGTACATGTGAGTCCCAAGCTGGTGGTCATTGCAACTTATCTATGCATACGAATCCACGACGTTCGCTAGCCGATCAATTTTGCTCGTGTCGTTGTCGTTGGTAAACAATATTATTTATTATTTTTTAAAGCGTCAACATTGCGGAAATTGCTTTAAAATTTCCTTGTACATCTATACATGTACGGATAATGTGTGACTGGGAGAAGATTAAAAGTCGCGTGGTCTTTTTGTGTAGAAATATAGAATACTAAGAATAAGTTTAGCTCAAAAAGGTGCAGAGTTCGGTTTGACGTGTAGAATTTAAAAAATGGAACATTCCTCTGGGTATCTTACGCGCTAGTAAGAAGAACGAGATGGCCGTTGGTGCGTAGAAAAAGGATTCGCGAGAGCGTTAACGAGCGAGAAGGCCTATCTGATCGTCAGATGATCGTGCAAGCTGATTTTTATCCACGAAATTCCTGAGCGTCAAGAACCCGAAAGAATGTAACGGCCAGTGAAGACGACGCGTACTCTTAGTGGGACAGTCCAGCGTGCAAGACTGTGTAGTCCCGAGTATTAATAGTCTACGGAGCGTGGACCGAGTACCGTTAAGGCCGAATACGATACGACGCCGACGTACCCTTACTAACGGGGAATGCCTTGTAAGATTGAAAGGCGCATGGACCCGACCGATACCGACGCCGACGCCGACGCCGACGCCGACACGCGACGCGCGACGGATCATCGATAGGCGCGGTACACCAAACACAACCAAACGAGAATTATCCCGCAAACTAGGCTTGGAAACTCTTCTTTAGAGAAACAGTTTCAAACGATCGATGAATATTTATTCGCCAATCACCTTGGACAGTTGGAAAACATGTTTTTTTACTTGCGTTAAAAGTCCAAGATTTCCAAGTTTATTTAACTGTTCGACAACTGGTCCCTATTATACATATTATATTAAACGTAGACATTCATTCTGTGCATTCTGTACATTCGATCATTTATAACTCTAGTTTAACCGTTTGTTTGGCAATCGTCGTTGTACGTTAAATTACCAGCCACCTAGAGGCCTGACAGAGAAAGCAACTTTTCAGATGATGCTTTTGTGCGTATCATCATTTGCTGACGAATTCCATGAAACGAAGAGCACCAAGTCGAACCAAGAGGAATCGAGCTCGGAATCGAACGAGCCACCGGAAGGATATTACGCCTTTGTCAAGTCGCCCAATGCCGAACCGCCAAAAGTGAGGCCACCGCCTTATATAGACAGCGATAAGGAGTGTTACGGTATGCATTCTAAACTCGTGCCAGTTACAAGTTGTTAGTTTGGTAACCCGAGGCCACAAGCTCGACCATGATTCGACACCCTTTATATTAAATTTGAAAAACGTTGCTAAATCGTTGAATCGTCTTCCGATCCCGTATATCCCGCATTTCAGATACGGGCAAGCAAGGAAAAGGTTTCGTCTCCGTGCACAATATTTGCGGTGACCTGAACAAGGGCTACATCCCACGGAATCCGATGAATCAGTACTTCAACGGATCCTCTTATCCTTTGTGAGCATTGCTACAGTGCTAAACTCGTAAATACGATGTTTCGAGTGATTTGTTTCGGCTGCACGGTTATCTATTATCTACTTTATATTCTGGTTACAGTGCTCTGTTGAAAAATCACACCCTCAAGTTCTTGAGCAAAGCTCTGCCCATACTCAAGGCCGACGATTCCCTACCGAAAGTCGCCACGGTTCAATCGTACTCGCAAAATTCGTGAGTATATAAATATACTCACCTTCTATTCGATGAATTTGATTTTTTTATGATTTCGGATAGAAATGATTAATTTTGCATTTTTATTGTTCTCTGTTACAGCGTGGACACTGACGAGAAACGAAGCAGAAGCAAACGATCCTCCGACTCGGAAACGAGTCTGGACTCGCTACGAAACGGTCGAAAATTCTGCGAAAATGGCGGAGGAGTGTAAGTTTCGCAAAAGTTACATCGTTATTGTTTCCTATGACGTTCGATGACTTTCAATCGACCATCTTTTTCTGTTTAAGGGTCTGCATGTTGTACAAAGCCATACAAGGCGAACCATTGGCTACGTCGATAGCCGAACGTCGAGACGAACCACCTACTCCAGAGTACCGCCAACGAACACCAGCCGCACCGGAAAAACAGGAGTACACAGGCCCACCCACACCCTGTCCAGCCAAAGTGGAGTACGCGACGCCAGTTTTCGCCAAGAACTATCAAGGAGTTTGGCGATACGTGGTCCAGATCCCTTACGAGGGCTACTTCACGCAGACTATCGAAGTCACCAGATGCATGTAAGAGGAAATTGCGTAAAGAAAATTCTTTATTTCTTTTTAGATGAAACACATTTGAAGAGGTACAGAAATTTAAGTTCACCATGAAAACTACCAACGAATAAATATTCCAAATGTTGTATCGTGTGTATTTCACGGGAATTGTGCGGCTAGCAACGCGTCAAGTTTCAACGCAACGCCAACGGTCTCTCGTTTCTCCAATCTTTCTTGGAAGGGGAAACCTCTCCTTTGTTGTGTCTGGCCGTTCAGTTTCTCGAGCTTCTTTTTTTTTTTTTGCTGTTCCATTTCTTCCCGTGTCTCGAAAATCATCGCGCGCCCCCTTCGACCGAGCCAGTGCTACACAGTTTATTATAGACAGATCCCTATCTCCTCTATACCAACAGAACACATCTGCGAATGTTTTCTCTTTCTGTTCTCTTATTTTTAGTTCGATCTCTGTCCACTCTGAAAATGCAATTCCAGTAGCAGTTTCAATTTTAGCAGTTTCAGTTTCAAAGTTTAGTAGTTTATTAACGAAACGATTATTCAGAAAACACGTAGACTTTTTGTTTGACAAGGTAGCTTGGTTCCCTCGATCACTCTGATTGATATTTATTTCAGGCAATCAAAGTGTCATTACCTGGACGGTGGTTGCCTGTCGTCGCCGCGATGGACCAGTCTACTCGTGGCGGAAATCTTCTATCCGGACACTGTGCTGGAAGAGAATCAGAACTCGCGATTCAATGGACTGGGAGACGCTACTGGATCGCCGCCACCTGTTCACGATTTCCAGAATTATCAGCAGTACTTGCAGAAACGTGCGGGCGAGAACGAGGCTCGTAACAACGGAGGTTCGCAACAACATCATTGCGACGGCGTCGACGAAATGGGCTGCTTCCAGGTAATCTAGCTAGACCGTTAATGCAGCACTCGACGCTACGCCGCGCCGCGCCGCGTGGGCTCATTCAATTTCCGATGTATAATTATAATCCTATTTTCTGTTTAACCCATCGAGTGCCTCGCCTCACATCGCCTCACCTCACATCGCCTCACCTCACCTCACCTCACCTCACCTCACCTCACCTCACCTCACC